CCCGGAGGGAACCCACGCAAACACAGGGAGAACATGCAAACTCCACACAGAAAGACCCCGGCCTGATGGTGGAATTGAACTCAAGACCTTCTTGCTGTGCGGCAAAAGTGCTAACCACCGTGCCACCGTTTTGCCCATTTTTGCAGCTGCCTTCACAGCCCATATAGCAAAATTCATCCACAGTAGTCAGACCGTTCCTTAACTAAATCCAACTTCAGACTACTGATTATATTGTTAATATAGATTAGTATCAGTAATATCTATATTAAGAAATATCTTTTAAATACCCTATGATATTTAAAGGAAGCAAGGTTTTTAATTTTTTAACAGCTTCAGTGATAAATCAGGACATATTCTTAATGTTAGTACTTCTATCCATTTATAGCAGTGATGTTAGTTATATTTCATAAAGGAAGGTCTTACCAGCTTCTTGGGTATATCTTTGTCATTATCAAGTGCCTTCCACAATTTTGCAAGTGACTCATTGAATTTCTGAAAATCAGAATCCTGCTTCAGGTCATACAGCATGGACGAGAAACCAAGGACAGCATCATGAAAGCAGGCCACTCGATCGACATCCATGTCATTTTCTCCAGCAGAGATTGATGCCAGGTCAACAAAAACTTTCAGCTCATTGATATCTGCAGTTACAAGTATTCTTTAGTTGTTATGAAATGCTATATTTAATTGTTATTGATAAAAATAGAATCTTCTATACCTTTAAGTTCTTTTTTAATCCACTGGATAAAGTCTTTACTCTGGAGGAATCTTTGAAGACATTCCTTGCGACTGTGTGTAATGCCTTTAAGAATATTTTTTGCATTTATGAAAGCATCATCAATGCAGTTCAGGTTGTTTTTCTTGAAGCTGGAGTCATTCTGAAAAATATACAATGATATTAAATCCCACAAAAATGTATTTTATAGAAGAGTATTTATACCCCCAAATAAATGTTTTATGATGGTTGTTTAGATCACGCACATTTCATGTCTGTCATTCTTTTAGAATATTTTACATCTGAGAACAAGATCAAAATGATTTTTAACAGTGTCTGTAGTTCAACATGATCACTAATAGATGATAATTTATCTTAATAACTCAATTATATAATATATATCAAGAATATATTTTCTTCAGCTGAGCATGACTGGATTCATCCATCAAAGGAGTCAAAAGTAAGTCAAATGTGAATATTTTGCAGGTAAGGGCTAGAGTTTCTTTTAATTACCTTGTTTTTAATTATATTAAGTAATTTTAAACATACCATTTGCAGCAACTTCTCCAGTACACTGAAGTCCCCTTCTGGACATAGCATGCTTTTGATGTCCTCAATGATTTTGGAAGATTCAACTGCTAGATGAACATCCTGGTATTGCTGAATTTGGTTTACCCTTTCTTTGATCCATGTTCTGTTATCAGATGTGTCTACTCTGCACATGATATCTAAGTCCTTTTTCAAGTCTTCACACTTTCCTTTATAGCCTTCAAAGATGTTGTCAATTTCTTCCAATAGAAGTTCTCCACTCTTCAGACTATCATAAAGCTTTTTGTAATTGTTGTAGCAGCTCTGAAATATTTTGTTGTAGACCTGGTCAAGGGTATAGATTTCTTCATTTCTATCAATGTTATCTGTATCTGATTGGTCTCTTGATAGCTCCTCCACTTGGTTTTTCCAGCATGTTCTGAAGATCATGCTGTCTTTGATGGCATTCAGTTCTGAAGCCATTTGGCAAGTTGTATCACACAGATTGAAATAAGTGACATTTACAGCTGTAGGAGAGATCAGTCCATCGAGAGTGCGGACCTTCATAAATTCATTCAGTTTCATTGTATCTGTGTTCTGATCAAGCTTTTTGTCCAATCCATTGAAATCAACTGTGGATTAGATGTGGAAAAGATGTAAGCATAAACATTACTGTGAAAATATAACACCAAAAATTATTTTCCCAGTCATTTCCTAGTTTAATTATTTCTAGACCCAAAGAGTTCATTATTCACTCTTTCAATATGAAGTAGCAACAGCCTTTTAAGATCAATAGAATTCCTCGTTAATTCGGTCCTTCCAGAGGCTCCTATATGGATCTATTTATTTTTACAGTGTTAAAAAATGAATGTCCACACTTCTAATGAAAAACTACTAAGATATGTTCTGCTTACCCAAAATAATGAATTAGTTCTATAAACATTCAGGGTGAGGTCTTAGAAAAGAGTTTCAGGACACAGCAGAAGCTCTGGCACCACATTGACACCCTTGAACCATCCAAGGCCAAATGCATGCTCATTGTCACATACCCTCTCCCAGTAATATGAACAAGCAAAATAAAACATTCGATTGGAAATTGTCACTGCCGTATCAGACGCAATAAAATCATTATTTTGTAAATCATGTTAGCATGTTTTATTTAAATGTTCTTCAAAACGTCTGGCTTTTGAAAAGCTAAATTCTATTCCAGGCATAAAAGAACCTGTGCCCACACCTTTCATTGCAAAACTGACATTATGCCTCCTTGATAAATCCTGAGAATAACTTTATAACACCAAAAAAATGCTTTATGTTCGTGTAGACCATTGGTAAATTTGTCCCAGAGGTATTCACTTCTTTTTTTTTTTTTTTTTAAAAATCTCTATCATTGAGGAGATATCAGACCTTTTTTTTTCTGCAGTCTTATCTAGAACAGGGCCAAAAGCTCCATCACCACCTTAACAGCACTTGATGTGCAGGAGTACTCAGAGAAAACCCACAGAGTCATACAGAAAAGCTTCCACTGAACAGGGAGGTTTAAACTGTGAACTTTTTACTCTGAGATGACAGTTGTAACAATTAAATGAAAAGAGTATAATGATATAGTAAAAATTAAGTTCTGAAAATATTGGGACCTTTTCACCAACTGCAAACTGTCGGAGCATCATGAAACAAAAGCTACAGCAAAGAAGACTGCTGAGCAGCTAGAATACTATGTAAGACAAAAATTGAATAACATTCCTTTCCCAAAAGTCCAGCCGCTGGTCTTCTCAGTTCCCAGACATTTACAGACTGTTGTTAAAAGAAGACCAGATGGTGCACAATTTCCCAAATTTTTGAGATGTGTTGCTGCCATCAAATTAAAAATAAGCTAATATTTTTCCTAATATTGTACACTTTCTCAGTGTAAACATTTGATATGTTTTATATCTACTGTAAACAAAATAAAGGTTTTATTAGAGCTGCATTTTGATTTTATTTACATTTTACAAGGCATCTCAACATTTTTGAAATTTAGTTTGCAAGCTTCTTTTTTTTCTCAGTTTGCTAGAACCACCCACCTTTCACATGCTCTGGAACTTCCTGGCACATTTGCAGAAGACTTTTGACCTGCTCCTTTTCAGTATTCACTGTCGCTGCTTCTTCTTCTCTCAGTCTTAGTAATGTTTTCATGTTTTGCTCATCTTTGCAGCGACCATCATCACATAGACCATCTGGAGAAGCATAAACACTTTGATGACCAGAAATATAGATAAATAATGTAATGCTCCATAATACATAACACCCACTGAAATTTTGTTATCATGTTACTTGTACATTTCCTGCCACACACACACACACACACACACACACACACACACACACACACACCTCTTTGTATTTCTGGGCTGTAAATTAAACAGATTAGAAACCATTTATTCAGTAAATATGCAAATATCTTTGTTTACCTAGATTTTATCAAATAGACCATTCAAACTTTACATTTTATGTGAAACTGCAATGTAACTGTAGAGTTTATTCATGTAACATCATTTTTAAAATTGCAAATTATGTTACTAAATTCAAATGTCTAGATAAATGTCATTTCATACTTTGGGATGTGTTCTAGAAGGTGAAATAATAATAATAATATTAATAATAATAAAACAAAACAAACACAAAACAAAAAAAACCCTTTAGAGGAAAAGAGTAGTGCACAGAAACAATCTGAAGGAAGTAGACAAAAGACTGAAGAAAAGAAAGAGGAATGCTAAGCAGAACTGGCAGAAGTAGATAGATGTTCGTATTCACCTGTTTTCAGCAAATCAAGAAATTCACGTTTTCTCTGGAAAATGTGAAGTAGAGCTTTAAACTGAATGTCTCCATTGAGGAACCTTTCTGATACAGATTTGAATGCTGAAGCCCCCAAAGCTATCATGGTTTGTGCTTCATCTGAAAATGATTCAACCAATCCCTCTCTAGCACCTGGAAAACAAGAGTACAAAAACCCAAACACATTTTACTGACTTTTTAGATAAAATAAAATGAAAGTCTGTTTATGGCTTTCTACATTTATTTTCTAAAATTTGTTAAATAGATATACTACACAAATAACACATCCAGCCTTACAAACCCACAGCCTGGCATTTACGTTCACATATTTATGTAAAATATAATATAAACATGAAATGGGCACTACACAGAAATATGCAATTAATATTATGTTAGAGAGTAACAATAATATAGACATTAATAAAGAGTAGTAGTACATTTTTTTTTTTTTCAATTTTAAAGTTTACCTGCCAATTGGAAGATAGTTTTGGCCATGGGCCAGTTCATAAGATACTCAAATATTGAGTCTTCGCCTTGAATGTACTCTCCATTGACTTTGGGCCATGACTCCACCACAACAACAGACATAAGCTTCAGAAACTTTGTGATATTATGTCTTTTCAAAAGATTCAACACCCCTTCACCAGATTTATCCTAAGCAGAAAAAGGGGAATAGGTTAATGTGTGTGTGTGTTAATATGAATTTATAACTTTCTATTATCCCTCAATTTCCATTGAATGTACAATTATATCATGTGAAATGAATAAGCATTTTTCATAATTTTTTGAAATCATACCTGGCAAATACATGCAACTGCCTCCAGTGCACATTTCTCCATTGTGCTGCATAATGATGGACATGTGTTGCTCGCCTTTTCCATTGTGGTACAGTATATTCCAATTTGATTTACATGTTTTTCCTAGCACACAAGCACATATCATCAATATTTTTTTCAGGTGCACATGCAATGATGATAACTCAAATAAAAATTCATTCTTACATTTTTCAGTTTGCCTTCAAAATCCTTCATGAATGTACTTCTCCAGTTTTTAGTGTGTTCCTCACGGCTAAAAGATACTTTCAGGATATTGTTCCATACCTACAAAAAAGATGTGCATTTTAATAGATTATTGCAGTGTTCACTAATAGGCATGTTAACTTGTACTTGATAAAAAAAAAGTATGAAAATGTGAAACTCTGAAATTACAGTCCAGGAAACAAAGGACTTAAACTGCTCAAATTTCACAGAAGATTGTCTGATACCACCGCCAATTGCAGTGGCATTAGACTTAGATGCTTGACAGTAACAAGTAGTCCTAGTATTTACTGTTTGTTTTTTTTTTTTACTGTATTTACTGTCTGTTTATTGTTTGTTTGTTGCTATATTTAAAATGATAAATGATTTAAAATTATTCTGAAAAAGGAGAGGCAGACAGCAGGGAGTTTGTTTTTCACTTGTAGCATGAAGAAAAAAACTAACTAGGACAGCTATCTTAAAAAGAGACGTGACGCATTATTATTCCAGATAGCTGCAATTGTGACGTATTTAGCCTAGAGTACTTAGTGAACTGAAGTGGGCAAATATCAAAAGAACTCCTGTAGGTAAAAATTTTTTTCATGAAATTGGTTTGATTTTAGTTCTCTTTTTTCAAAAACTAATTCATAGTTGTAGTTATGTCAGGCTCTTTTTATATGTGTAAAACAATGGCTTAGAGCAGACTGTAAGCCTAAATAAGGATCAAGTCCACACTTGATCTGTACTTTAATGCACCTATCACACAAGCTATTCTTGTAGAAAAAAAAAATAATTTTGTATTAATGTGCTTTACTTCACAGAAAATAAATGTGGTACACATTTAATTAAAAACAAAAATGAAACAAAACAAAGGCAATTAAAAGCAAAATGAGACTATTGATGTTCATCTATGTTCATCTATGAAACTACTACTAATTCCCAAAAGTTGATTCTGTTCATCTGGACGTAGTGTTTTCAGTGGGAGAAATGTTTCGTCACTCATCATTAATATCCAGAGAATTTGCATATTAATGATCAAGCAACTGACCTCCCATCCCATTGTTCTTTCAGTGGTGCAGGTTTCAGTCATTATGCAAATGTACTGTTTATAAGATTGGGGAAACCTGCAGTCAGCGGAGACTGAAGAAGTCACTTGGATGAGTGATGAAACATTTCTCCCACTGAAAACGTCCAGATGAATAAAATTAACTTTTGCAGATTTACTTCCCTGGATGATTGAGCATGAATCAAGACCTTCTCCTTTTATGTTTTTTCTTGATTTTCATGACTATTTACATCGTAGATTCTTACTGAAGGCAACAAGACTATGAATGAACACATGTGGAATTATGTAGTAAACAAAAAATTGTGAAATAACTCAAAACATGTTTAATATTTTAGGTTTTTCAAAATAGTCATCCTTTGCTTTGATTACTGCTTTGCACCCTCTTAGCATTCTCTCTCTGAGCTTCATGAGGTCGTCAACTGAAATGGTTTTCCAACAGTCTTGAAGGAGTTCCCAGAGATGCTGAGCACTTGTTTTGCCTTCTCTCTGTGGTCCATCTTATCCCAAATCATCTCGACTGGGTTTAGGTCAGGTGACTGTGGAGGCCAGACCATGGTGCAGCACTCCATCACTCTCCTTCTTGGTCAAATAGCCCTTACACGGCCTAGAGGTGTGTTTGGGGTCATTGTCCTGTTGAAAAATAAATGATGGTCCAAACCGGATGGGATGGAGGATGCTGTGGTAGCCATGCTAGGGTGGTCCTCATGCCAGCCAGTTCCATTGTTGATGGTTTTTGCGACTGCACTTGGGGACACATTCAAAGTATGAGCAATTATCCAGACTGACTGACCTTCACTTCTTAAGGTAATGATGGACTGTCATTTCTCTTTACTTAGCTGGTTGGTTCTTGCCATAATATGAATTCTAACAGTTGTCAAATTGGGCTGTCAGCTGTGTACCAACCTGACTTCTGCACAACACAACTGATGGTTCCAACCCCATTAAGAAGGCAAGAAATTCCACAAACAAACCCTGGCAAGGCACACCTTTGAAGTGAAAACATTTCAGGACTACATCATGAAGCTCACTGAGAGAAAGCAGAGGCTTTGCAGTTCTGTCAACAAAGCAAACGGTGGCTACTCAGAGGAATCTAAAATATAAAACATATTTAAATTTATTTTTCTATTTTTTTTATTTATTTATTTTTCTTTGCTACGTAAGTCCATATATCTTGCTTCATATATTTGATGTCTTCAGTTTGTATCTACATTGTAGAAAGTAGTAAAAATTAAGACAAACCATTAAATGAGAAGGTGTGTCCAAACCTTTGACTGTTAGTGTACATTGATGTCCTCTTTTTTTGTTTTGTAAGATGAGCTATATCTAACTGGCTACTGTGCTGATGATCAAAGTGAATTATTTATATGACACCATAACAGAGAACAAGAGCTTACTTAATTTCTACTTACCTTTATTTCATTGGGTACAGAAAAGTGCAAATGATTCCATTCATTGAGCAGTTTATTACTGAAGGTACTTCTTCGCCACTTCCTCATTGTTTCTAATGTCTCCCAAAATGACTCTTCCTGAATTTGCTCTCTTGTCTGTAACAGTTGTAAATTTCTTTATGAAATAAAATAAACTAAACGCTGTCAATGTGAAATCAACAATTACATTTAAGCATTAAAATGTATGTTTTTTTTTTAAATTTTGAGGTTTAGCTAAAAGAAACATAAAGACATTTTGTGCATATGGTAGTCCAACCGACTAACAAGCAGCTCTGACCTGGGAATCATTGTGGCCGTAGACCTTGGCTATCAGACAGACTAGGTCAAGGAAGTGGAGAGGAAGGTCAGAGTAATTTGGATCTTTTGTGAAATTGCAGACAGAGCCAAGAAGCATTACTGCAGTTTTCAGGCAACACTCCCCATTTTTGTCATCGAAACTAGAAGAAAACATTACATTATTGTTTGAGGAAAGACTGCCATCAGCACTGATGCTGAAAATCAATATTGATCCTTCTTCAGAGATACTGGGCTATAATGACAAACAGAGGCTTTTTATTGTACCTGTTATTTTGGTGACTTTCTCTTTTGATGACATGGGATGTCAAATTTATCAGAACCTGTAATCAGAATCATAGTAGATATTTATTGAATATGAAGAGACATAGCTGTTGAAGGCAACAACACACATGCCACTGGACATAAAATCTAGAGTAGCCTTTCAACATTTTATAAATCAGTGTGGTCTAGGAGAGACTTCAGCTCCTGCTCCTATTCTGAAATTTGTTTTTAGGCTTAGGCTAACATATCATGTGACAAGGGACTTTAGCCAATCACAGGCCTTTGCATATCAGATCAGTTGAGTGCTATAAACAAAACTGACCAAAACGAAACTGCATAATAAAACATTCCTTGGCAGAGGAGGATTATAACCCTGTATTAAATCAAAAGTCAGTGTTGACTTTTGTTTTTGATTAACCTTTGGGGTTGCTACTTGTGGTTACTATTATTTTGTTTAATATTATTTTTAATTATTTATTTTATTTATATCTTATTTATCTTATCTGGCTTGGGGCAGTTTGAACACAACACTCAGTCTCTTGTCACATAGCAGACATAAACCCCCTCACAAAAATGAGAAAAAAAAGTTTTTCTTATTAAAAACAGCGACAATCAAAATAATAATTAATAATATTAACTAATTATAAAATGAATTAGTTTAAAATGAATTAGTTAATAATAATTAATTAAACAGTATTATTAATTAGTAATTTATTTCTATAGAACTGAGGGAAGTTACATATTTATTTGACAACTTAATTTTATATACCTAAGCATTACTTAGTTATATAATATTAAATATAAGTAAAACTTGTTATTAATATTAATTTTAATTTTCACTTTGCTATTTAAAACTCTGTTTTTATTAAAACAAAATAACTGTTTTAAGAATAAATACCTTGTACATGGGTTGAGTTATGCCAGATCTGATACTGAACTGCAAATATTGAAGAATGTCTAGTAGTTCAACTCTCACTGGACTGGACATGAAGCTCATTAGGTCATCCACCCGTATGAGACACATCCAAGAGTGCACAAGAAGACGATCAATGGCTGCCAGGTATGCATGTTCTTTCATGATCTCAATCCAATTTCTAGTTAAAAGGGTTAGGGTCAGGGCAGATAAATGGGACCAGACAAATTTAATTACATTTTAACGTCTTTATGGGGGATAAGCACTTACTGTGCGTAGCTGGGTCCTTTGATTCCCCTCAAGCCTGTCCAGGATTCCAACTGTGGATTCAAGACTGGGGTAACTGGCTCAAATGGTTTGCTTTCTCCTCTCAGTAGATGAATCAGAGGGATGACCAAGAACCACTTCTCAATATGGTGTGTTATAGCAGTGTGGCAAAGGTTCTCCAGTGCATCTGCAACTCTGTATATGTAGAGAGATCAGCAAACATACAAGACCAGCAAAAAATTCACATAATACAGGACAGGAGACATTCATTTTTCCAGATATTTTAACAGGAGCACTACACTGGAAAACCCACAACATTGTTTGTTGCACCAGTCCAATCAAGTCCAATCAGGTTGATCAGATTACGACGATAACGGATAAATTGCGGCTTTGTAACTATTGTATGTAAACAAACACATTTTATAATGTTTTAATAAATTTTGACTTTAAACTGGGTTGTTCTTGTCTCCCATATTATCTTTGTAAAAACAATCATTGTCACAATGTTTATGCTTAAAAATATACCACACACTAATTACCTTTTTTTATCTGTCAAAGGATTTGCAAACTTTTCCCAGAAAATGGCAAACTTGTCCGGCGCCACTTCAGGCAAGCAAAGAAGACTGCATAGAAAGGAAAGTTTATCTCTCATGCTGTCCTTCAGATGCATGTTGCAGACCAGCAAACCAATAATCCCTGCATGGAGATTTGGTAGTAAGGATTGTACTGTTTCACTTTTCTTTCTGGCCCTAAGACCAATAATTTCCTCCAGAAACCTTTTTAGTAGGTTTTTAATCTGGAAAAGGCAAAGGGTGAATATCAGAAAACTTTGGAACATTGGAAAACATTCAGTACTTTATCTTATACTGTTGGATTATGGATGTAATATGTTGAAACATAAAACATAAAACACAACATAAAACACGTCATTTACCTGTTCTGAGCCATATGGTAATCCCCACTGTTTTTCCATACCATCATGAAGTAGAGGATAAGTGTATGTATGAATGAACTGTTGCAGCAGGAGAAAGAAGTTTTCTACATTTTGTTCATTCCAGGTTGTGAGAAGATCAGAGATTATTTTTAACAT